TATACTATCAGATTCCAGGATTACATCTACAAAAATACCCACTAACATTACTGAAAGTAAAATACTACATACAGTACAACAGCAACGCTACTAAATTTATTTTTTAAACGTAACTGTACCTTCTACTGTTAAATTAGAAGTAATTTTACTACTGCTTAACAATTAAACTAACAAAATAAATAAATATACATCAAATAAATTAAATAAATAAATTGAATAAATTAAATAAATGCAGAAAAAGTGCAGTAAATCATGCGATTTAAACATGCAAGTAAACATCCTACAATATGATATCAATGTATATGATATATCATAGACACACTATCACATCTACTCATTAATGGTCATTTCTATCACATTGGCATCATCATTTCTATCACTTTGGCATCATCCTTTTCATCACATTATCACATTGACATCATCACTTCTATCACATTAATGTCGTTACTTCATCGCATCAACATATGAACCAACATCAACATCGCCATCGTTATTAATTAATTAATATCATCATTATTATTGATCACATCAACGTTATCTAGCCATGACATCAATTATCGCGTTATCATTAGTTATTGTTGTAACTGTAGTCGAGGAAGTCTTTTTAAAAAAATAATACAAAAGCATACACACCTACAAAAAAATAAATTAAACATACAATTAAATTATTAAAACACAACGATACGTCATTTTCTTCATCATCACAAACATCGTCATCATCCTTATTCTCATCTTCTTCATCATAATTATCATCATTTTCACAGCAACATCATCATCATCATGAACCAACATCATCCTCATTGTCATCATCACCATCAGCATCATCCAAGGAGTTGAAATCCTTTTTATGCTGTTTCACTAAAGATTTCCTCTTGATTGTCAACAATGTTGTTGATGTTGTTGTTGACGTTGTTGTTGTTGTTGTTGTTGATGTTGTTGATGACGTTGTAGTTGCTGTGACTGATGTTGTTGAATTTGATAACGTTGTTGCTGTTAATGATGATGTTGTTGAAGTTGTTGTTGTTGATGATGATATTGTCTTTGTTGATGTTGATGATGATGACGACGAACCATCTTGGGGCAGAGAATGTCTGGTTGATTTGACCAGGGTATTGTTATCTCTGTTGATATTAGCGGTAGAGTTGTTGGTTTTATTATTCAAGTTGTTAACACTGTTGTTGCTATTAATGCTAGTGTTGTTAATGTTATTGTTAATGTTGTTGTTGTTGACAAAAATATTATTGCTAATGTTATTGATGTCGTTGTTTCTATTATAGTCGTCACAATGTTCACGCGTCTTATTGCTGCTTTTTTGAAAAGATGCGATGTTCATCTCACTCATCATTCTCGTCATCATCTCGTTGAAATCGCTCTCAGAAAAAACCGGAAATGGCGATGAAGAGGAGTCTGAGGCCACAGTTTCCGGAAGTGAAACCAAGGAGGAGGATGAGATGATGATGGGTGATGATGACCTCACAGATGATGAAGATGTATAGTAGCCGGAATGTTGCTGCTGGGAGTCGGAGGGATGAGGAAGGTGATCCTGATGATGATGTTTCTGATGATGATGATGACTGGTGGTGGATGATGAAGTATGCGTGCTGGTGGTCGCATGTAGTGCAGCTCTAGATGGAGAAGCCGGTGTGCTGTGGCTGTGCTGCTTGCTACTCAGTGGCGGCGTGGCTAATGGTGGCAGACGTCCATGGCGGTGTTTTTGTCCACGCTGATCTGTAATTTGTTTGTTTGTTTGTGTGTGTGTGTGTGTGTGTGAGTGATCTGTAGTTTGTATGTATGTGTGTGTGTGTGTTGCATTGGCTAAGTATGTGTGTGTTTGTTGTGTTAGTTATAAGTTATTGGTTAATAAATAGTAACTTAACATTCATTTAGTTTTTCACATCCTCATTCAGCGCTACCAATCGTCGCTCAAACATCTGCCAAACAAAAAGACAAACAATCATAGAAACAATAAAGACCTCTAGGAGGTAGTGAATCCATGCTCTGATTGGCTGGCTGGTATCTACCTTTCCTACTCATGCTACTCCTATTGGCTGGAGATAGATCAAAATAATAATTACAATAGATGATAAGTAGTGAAACAAAAATGAACATAAACAAGCGACAAACTAACCAAACAAGCCAGGCAAAAACAAGCAAACAAATAAGCAAAGAAATCTTAAACCTCCATTTCTGACAGGCGATGCAGCAACAGAGGAACTTTCAAGAGACAACCTAACAGCGGGAAGTAGAGTTCCCTTAGATGACTGCCCACCGGATCTTATTCGTGATGCGTGCTTTGTTGTTGTTGTTGTTGCCGGCGGTGATGGCGCCGGTACTGTGGATGCTGAATTTTTACGTCTGGGTACCCTGATGACGTCTGCTAGGAAAGTCTCGTAACTATTGAGAGAAAGTGCATTGGGTCTTTTTGTGTTGTTGTGAATGTTTTTGTTGTTGTTGTTGTTGCTGTGGATGTTGATGGGAGATGAAGTTATCTTCTCTGTGAGGTTGATGAGTTTGTTGATGGATGACTGAGAATCGGTGCCTGTTAGATAGATGAGTGATAAATTGTATTTAAAGAGCGTGCAGTGTTGCATAACACATCAAAGTTATCATTACCATCTGCATGGTAACGTTTTGTTTGTTGATAGAAAGTAGATTCAAATGAACTTAAAATAAATAGTTTTATTTTATACAGTTTGCATAATCATCAAACGAACTGATTAATCTCAAAATGTTAGAAATAGAAAACCAAAATTAAAATAAGTTAACCGAATTTAAAGGATGTGACGATTTTGTTATTAGAAACAGAGCCAGTGTTGTCCTGGCTTGCTGCCTTTGGCGACGAATCCAATTTCAACTTTGAAGAAGATGATGACGACGTCGATGAATTAGAATCTGAAAATAAAAATTTGATTATTTAAATAATGTTAAAATAATATCAACAGTACAAACAAAAACCTGAAACAAACATCGTTTCATAATTCTAAAACTCGACCATTTAACAGAATACATGCGCACATCCTTTTAAATGCTAAATCAGATACACAAAGAGACAGACAGACAAAGACGGACAGACAAAAATCGACAGACAAACACATAAATGGCAGCACACAATAGCACAAGAGCAAACTTTTGGGTTCTAGATTGTTGGACATGGCAGTGAGAATTTCTTCATCGCAGATAATCATTAGGTTATCGAGGTACTTCTTCACCACCATGGCATTCTATAATAATTATGTGAGAAGATAACCCAGATATGAATGAACATTTGAATTGACATGAATTAAAAATTAGCTATATATATTTATAGGCCCAGTAGCATGGCTTAAGTGAACAGACCTCATCAGATTTCAGTTGAGCAGCCACATTTTTAATGATAGCTGGACCCTTTCTCTTCCTGATGGTCACAAAATTCGATACGTTGATGCTAGAAGATGAAGACGCGGCCATGCTGTTGGAGGAAGAGGATGAAGATGTGGATGTTGTGTGGGTGATGCCATCAAAGCTCCTTGATAACTCCAGATCTTTGTTGTGCTGTTTGGTTTTTAGATTTTTTTTTATAACAGTGCACTCGAACCGGATTTAAAAGGGTGGAAACCCCGAGACAACCAACAAGTAGAGACCCTTAATTTTTAAGGGAGGCTTATTTATTGTGGAGGCAGATAAACTGCCTTTCCCTCCAATGAATTCGGCTCTGAGTTCACAGAATGATTAGTGCATCAATTTCAAATATGGTGTGAGTAAATCAAATAATATGATGAGGTAGGTAGGAACAATCAACTGTGTCTACGTTTGTAACAATATACATATAAATAACGATACAAATCAGAAACGTCCTAACATAGTAAGGCGAGGCCATGTTAGTAACTTTTCTGACTTGTCTGGCCACCATTCTCATCTTATCATAATTGACCATGTCGTCGTCCACCACAGTTTTGTTGCCCAGCTCGATGAAAGTCAAGTCCTTCATGACGACTGGCAGAAATGGTATCTACGAATGCGAGGAAATCTTGTTGTCAGCTTGATGGCGTTCATTTTTTTATTAATCTCGGTTACGTTCTTATGATATAAGTGATATGTTAATGTCGTGTTTTTAACTCACTTTTCTCTCTCTCTCTCCCTTCTCTCTCTCTCTCTCTCTCTCTCTCTCTCTCTCTCTCTCTCTCTCTCTCTCTCTCTCTCTCTCTCTCTATCTTTCTCCTCTCTCTATCTTTCTCTTATTTTTCCTTCTCAACATCTTTCGCTCTTTTTTACTCTTTCATTTTCAATGCCTCTCACTTTTACATTTTCTTTCTCTTGTAGCCACTCCTAACTCTTGAATTCTTTCGTAAATTTGCGTATTCCTCCTTATCGAGTTCCTCAAATTTATCTTTCATTCACTTATTTTATTTCTATATCGGGCATCATATTTAGTTTTTACATAGTGAACCAATGAAGAAATGCAGAACTACGGACTGCTGGACTGTCGATGAGCTTGATGTTCAAGAGGTTCCTGTACTTGGACATGTTATTTGAAGGGTCCATGAGATCTTGTAAGTTCTGCAACGTTGTTGTTGTTGCGTGTGCAGTTGGGAGTTTTGTGGCTGTTGTATTTTTTCACTGCGTTTGTTGTTGTTAGGTAGATGTTTGGTTGGGTTGCTTGTGTGCAATGATTGTAGTTGTTGAGGCAGTGATAGATAAATAACGAAAACAATACATTTCAATAAGCATCCTAATTTATAATTATATCATCATGACGTCATATTGTTTGATTACGTCACAGAGAGCACCGTCCAACCAACCTGAAAGAGCTTTATATATTTAGCAGGCACTCTAGCCCAAGTCTGCTTCAGTTTTGAAACTGAACTGTGGCTCAAACCGCTGATAATGCAGAAAGTTGAGTTGAAGTTGTTCAATGATAGGCAGTGTTCTGTTGTTGTTTGTTTGTGTGTGCGTATTTGTTTGTGTGCTCTGTTTGTTTGTGTGTGCGTGCATATGAGTGAGTGTGAGCATCATTTGTTAGTGTGTGTGTGTACTTCTTCATGTGTTTGTATTAACAAATGAGTGTATGCATAAACAAATCTAATTTTTAATGAAAAATAATTCAAAACGTAATCTAACGTGATATCTTAAGGAAGGTTTGGATGAGTTTGACACGGCTGTCCATGAATGGCTCCTGACATATTTCCGTGGCCACCCAGAACATCTCCCTGTTCACCAGCTGCAGTTCAACATTTTACATTTTGAAGATTTTCTTGTTCATTCATTCACTCATTCACTCACTTATTCATTCACTTGTTTGTTTATTTATTTATTCATTTATTCAGTCATTCGTTTACTCAATCACGGGCACTAGATAAGAAGTAAAAGGTAACCTTGGAAAATAATTCCAAATTGAAACACCGGCTATTTTCGACACAATCAGCGATATCGCCACAATTATTCCCAATGCCAACAACAACTCGATTATTATTATTATTACTACTGTTGTTGTTGTTGATAATATTATTATTGTTGTTATTGTTGTTGTTGTTATTGCTGATACCATCATCAGAACTTTTACATTTTGTGTTTGACTTTTTAACAAAAACATATTCAATGAATTCAGAAGGTTGGATGTTCTTGAAAAGTTGAAAATCTCGCATCGTCAACTCGAGAGCCACTTCATAAGCTTTTATGTGCCAGAGTGGATGTGGTGGCTGCAGTGGTTGTAGCTGCTGCTGTTGTAGTTGGCCACTGTTGCTGATGAGTGTGGCGTTATAATTTGTTGTAATATCTCTCAGCCAATCAGCGATAGGTGTGTTGTTGTTGACCAGACAGATCCTAAAAAACGGTTGTTGTGCGATTGCTGATTAATTAATTGATCGATTGATTGATTAATTAACTATAAAAACACTCACATTTTTCCTTCTACTCAATATTATCAATTACGTAATCAACAGCATCATCATCTTCATCGTCATTATCATGATTCATATTCACGCCATCATCTATTAATAAACTATTATTAGAGACGCACCAAATAGTGAATTTGGCCAAGGCAGTTGATATATTAATCGACCGAAGCCAAGGACCAAATGCCAAACAACCCAAAATGTTGAAAACAAATTTATTTTTTTTTTTAGAACGAAAATCAAGCTATCAAAAAAATTATTAATTTCTATTCAATTTTTTATCGAGATAATGCTCAATCTATTGTTCAATTTCCAACTTTTTAACATCTATGATGGCCAAAATAAATTTCTCGTTAGTAACAATCCGCAACTCATTGTTCTGAAGCAGATTTCGGTCGAATACTCATTCGGCCAGACCAAGCCAAATATCCGGCACATCTCCAATTATCATTATCCTAATTATCATCATTCATCAGCATTGTCATCGTCGTACCTCGTATGATCATTACACAATGATAGCAAGTTGATAGAACATTCCAACAGACGAGTGTACTTCATTATCTCGCCATTCTCAAATGTAACATGGTACATAGAGTAGTGGTCTCTAAAATTTGGAGTGCGTCGCGCATCAGTGTCGTGTGTACGTGAATGTATGTTTGTATACATGTGCGTATGTATGCGTGTGTATGTATACGTGGACGTGCGTGTGTGAGTGTATGTGTGTGTGTGTGTGTATGTGTCATTGACTTACGCATTCTGGTCAAACAGCTCCAACTGGTTCAGCACATATTTCAGCACCTCAGATGCATTCACTTTCTGTATATATATATATATATATATATATATATATATATATATATATATATATATATATATATTCAATATATGTATAGTAATACCGAAAAAAAGCATTTGTGTTCTATCGTACTTAAATGTTCTATCATGCTTAATATAAATAAAAATTTTGGTTTTGAACTCAAGAAACTTGACAATCATGTGCATGTTCATGTCCACAAACATCAACTTACGCCATCAACATTAACGAGGACAGGATTCAGCCTGTTGGCATAAAAAACTTTCAGCTTCCCTTCAGTACACGATGAAACTGATGATGATACCGACGATGATAACAACGATGATGATGATGTTGTAGGTTGATGATTATGATCATGATTACGATGATGATGAGTTGATTTACTCATATCATCACTCAATGCAGATGATATATCAGGGTTACTCAGTCTCCTCACGTGATTGTGATTAACGGAGAGAGTCTGACGATGCTGGTGATGATTATGATTGCAGAACGAGGGAGATAGTGATGAAGCGAGAGCGGGCAGTGGATTTTGAACGCTAAATTATGTTGAAGATGATAATCATCATTTTTAGGATCATAGAAAATTACAATTCTAAAGATCCATCCATTTAAATACCCATCCATCTATTTATCCATCTATTCATCAAATCATTCATCCATCAGTAAATCCATCTATTCCTCCACCAATCCATCCGTCCGTCCGTCCGTCCATCCATCCATCCATCCATCCATTCACATAACTTACTTGAAGACAGATATTCTCTTGATGAATGGTTCGAAGACATTAGTGAACAACTTTCTGGTCGACCATTCCTTCTTCCTCTTGCCCTTCTCTCGTTCCTCGCTGGAGCAACTCTGCTTTGTAAAGACATTTCGACCTTTTATGCTGCCCGAAACTGACGATATCATCGCTTCTTTGTAATCTGTTTTTTCAGGATTTAGCTGATATAAATAAGCTGGCTGGAGTTGGTGAAATAATACTTTAGCAGCTACGATGACATACTGAACAGAAATAACATTAAAAAGTTTACTGTAATTTATTAAATAAATGACTTATATTACTGCTGGCGTAGCAAGTAAAACCATAAGAAATATAACAAGAGCTGTTATATTAATTGTGAAGAATTAATTTGAAATGAACGATTCTTCAAGCGTGCAAATACTGTAAATAATTCTAAGAACAATAGCAACATGTAACTAACATAATTACACCAAAATTGATATTGAAGTTTAAAAAATAGTAATGCCACATAATAAGTTAGAATGAAATTGATTAGATGGGAACACATGGAGCCGGCTAACCGATGTAGTTGTACTTGACGATGATGTTCAGTTGTTTGGATTCGTGGATGATCTTAATGGCTGTCTTGCTGCATGGCATCTCGTCTACTTTTATCCCATTCACCTCCAGTATCTTTTGTTGTGTTCGTTGGTATTTCTATCTTTACACAGACACGCACACACACACACACGCGCGCACATACACACATAATCGCATATTTGCGCATGCACCTAATAGTGCACTATACAATCATTATGAAATGTCAAGTTTACTTTATGAGGCTGTATTTGCACAAGATGCATATGCATATAAAGGAGACCATTCTTTTCATCAATCAATTTACACTGATTAATCAAGTTATTTTTAGCAGCAAAAAAACTTAAGTTCTATTTATAAAGAAAAATTTGATAGCAATTTTTATCATTGATTACAAAAAGTTATATTTTTTCACTGTTTAATTAATACAAGGCTAGCTGAGTGGCGGTAATATTTTTATAAGAGTAATTTGTAACACGTGCATGTTTATTGAAATAGTCAAAAAAATTTAAGAAGTTTTTGTCACAGTTAATTTACTTTCATAATCAATCAATTAATCAATCAATCAATTAATAAAATCAATCAATCAATCAATCAATCAATCAATCAATCAATCAATCAATCAATCAATCAATCAATCAATCAATCAATCAATCAATCAATCAATCAATCAATCAATCAATCAATCAATCAATCAATCAATCAACCAACCAATCAATCAATCAATCAACAAATCAATCAATCCACCAACCAACTAATTAAAAAATTGTATTACCTGATCTCCTCTCATTAAGAAATTGGTAGAGTTACAGAAATGACTGAGATTCATGTTCATACTGCCATCCCGATAATTACAACCATTATTAACGTTATTGCTGTGACTATCAGAGGTGCTATTGTTCTTATCAACAGTAGTTTTCGTGACATTATTATTGTAATTGTTGTTGTTGTTATTGCTGCTGTTGTTGTAATACTTCAAGTTATTCAATCTTCGACTGTTGCTGTGGTCATTGGCTGTGGTGACATTATCGATGAATAATTTTCCACCCTCCTTCCCAGAGACCGTTGAAAAGTTCCAACTCTCAGCCAACGTACTCTTAGACAGTTTGATCATTCTTTTGCTGGCCTGCACACAGCAAGCCCTGTGCAATAGGTCTATCTGTCCTGTCATGTTCTGTCAGGGTAAGGTTCAGGGTTGTGTGTGCTGGGCTTGTTTCGTTATTTAGTGGGTCAGTGTTGCAAATTTTGTAATGTTTTGGTAAATTTGTTTAATGTTTTTGGTGTGTTTTTAAATAGTGCTTGATAGTTTACATGCTGTTGTTTGACGTATCTCATCAAGCGCGTCTATGGCTGTTCATTGGGAATGACTCTTTATTTTCAACAGCAATGATTATTTCTTAAAATTGATTTTTTAAATAAGAGCAAACTACGCATGTAATTCTTATTATTTAATTAGTACATCATTAATATTCATTTAGAAGCACAAAAAAAGCAACAATAATCAATCTAGGAGTACTTAACAACAAACAAACAAACAAATATGTTTTACTTTGTAACAAAATTAAATTAAAAAAAAATTATTTCTACAAATAAATTTAGTGACAAAAAGAGAGAAAAAGAAAAAATTTAAGATAAACAATTTTAAAGCACCTAAAAAAAGATCTGACAAATTGCAAAGAATAAAAAGAAAAACATGCAGGCAGGCATTCACTTGAAACAACAAACAACAACAACGTACTGATTGCTTCATCAGCTTCATGAAATGCATGAGGAACCTATATAGCCTAAGATCTGATTCAAAATCCACGAAATGATTGTTCACCCAGAGCAGTACAATTCTTACAGACTGTGTAGTTAGTTAGTCAATTAGTCAGTCAGTCGGTCGGTGGTTAATCAGTCAGTCATCCATCCAGCTAGCCAGCCAGCCAGCCAGTCAGTTAATTAATTAATTAGGTTATGATCGAATGTTAATAAAACTTCCAACCTTATCTCTCAACCTGCCCCCATCATTGAACCACAATGTGAGACTGTGGCACAGACTGACCAGTCCATCATCGAGGAACGTTCTGCCGGTCAGCAGGAAGTCTTCAACGTACGTCGGGTCCTCTGAACTGTGAGTGTCTACTAAGAACTTTACCAACTGGTCTTTCGTGCCCTTGGGGTTGAAAGTGTAATCAATCAATCAATCAATCAATCAATCAATCAATCAATCAATCAATCAATCAATCAATCAATCAATCAATCAATCAATCAATCAATCAATCAATTAATTAGCCAAAAAGAAATTATTCAAATTCAAATTCAAATAATCTTTTTATTCAATTCAAATAATCTTTTATTCAGTAAAGTATCATTAAATACATAATACTAGGAGACCCGAAGTTTGCACTTGTTGGGCCACCGAAACAGAAATTGGAATAAAATTCGAACAAAGATAAACAATAAGTGATAAAAAGAAAAAAAAAATAGAACCAAACAAAATAGTAATAATTAATCGACAAAAACCTTAGGAACCAAATGAAAACAAAAGCATAGTTACACGGGGAATTAACCGGTAATGAAAGAGGAAAAATGATTCGTTAAGATTAATTGATAAACTGAATTTTTAAATAAACCAGCAGTATTCATATTTTTTACGTGAATTGGTAATAAGTCCCAAAGTCGACAAGAGACATGAAAGACGGAATTAATAAAAAATATGTCTTGGAAACCTTGATCTCAGTCGGTAAAGTATTCCTAAATTTTTTGTAGCCTTTTGTGAAATGAATTGAATGTGACTAGTCCAGGATAAATTGCTAGAGATAAAGATACCCAAAAACTTTGTAGATTCAACCCTGTTAATGCAAACATTATTTAATAAAAGCTGAATATCAACAACACTTGTTCGAATCTTAGGTCCAAATAAAATAAAATAATATACATCGCCAAAACCAAAATAAAATAATTATACATCGCCAAAACTAATCTAGAGTATTTCAAATACATTTAAAGATTAATCTTTCACTAAATACACATTTTCAAAAAAACTACACCCCAATCAAAATATTAGCAGTTTGCAAGTGACAGAATAAAATAAAACTTAACAGACAAAAAATAATTGCTACGTAATATACACGTACACTCACACACACACCACACACACACGCACTCACACAAACATACACGCACTCACACACAAACACACACTCACACACACGCACACACGCACAAGTACATTTACAATGAATAATAATAAAATGACAAATACTAATAAGAATAGTACACAGTACAATTGCTAGGGAAAACAATTACCTAATATGAAAGAGAATATAAAAAAAGCAATAAATGCGTTAGATTGGATGACATTTAGATGTTTTTTAAAAGCTGGAGATGACGAAGTTTTATAACATTCCATATATTTGTTATACATATACCATCCGCTCTATCTGTTGTTTTTATCATTATTATCAACGTATTTATTTCATTTTATTTGTTTTTTTTAGTTTATTAGGTTATAAAACTTTTTTTTTTAAAAAATTTCAAATATGTTAATGCTTTGATTTACAGGTCTGAAGATAAAAACTTTAGCTTTGAGAATTCCATTCAAAAGGAACTTAAAAATACATAGAGAAAAAATTTCATACATTTAACATCATGCATTACACATTACAATGGCAATGAGATGATTGCACAATAATAAGTAGAGAGTTAAGCAGTTAAGGATAATTTGCAATACATTGCATTACAACTACATTACTGTACAGTCATAAACATTACAGTACTACAACAATACAAAAATACTACAACACAACATGGTACAACAACAATACAAAAACAGTATAACACAACACAGTACAACAACCGTACAACCACAGTACAACAACAGCAACACAACAACAGTTCAGTACTTTCTTAACAAAGTATCCCTTCTTGTTGCCCTTCTTCAAATCTCTCTCCTCCACTACAAGAACTTTCTTTCCATCCTCAACTGTTTCCTTCTCTATGCAATGTGTTTCCTAAATGAGTGGATGAATGAAAGTATGAATGAATGAATGATCATATGAATGAATGAATGAATGGCTGAATAATTAATAAATAAATTGCACGTCATGTTAAATTGGTCATGTAAGATAGTGAAACTGTTAACAAAGTATGTATGTGCATAAAACGTAATGTAAAAAATAATATATGGAACTGTTAACAAAGCATGTATGTATGTATGTATGTATGAATGTATGTGTGTGTGTATGTATGTATGTATGTATGTATGTATGTATGTATGTATGTATGAATGTATGTATGTATGTATGTATGTATGTATGTATGTATGTATGCATGCATGCATGCATGTATGTATGTATGTATGTATGCATGTATGTATGTATGTATGTATGTATGTATGTATGTATGTATGTATGTATGTATGTATGCATGCATGTATGTATGTATGTATGTATGCATGCATGCATGTATGTATGTATGTATGTATGCATGTATGTATGTATGTATGTATGTATGTATGTATGTATGTAAAACGTGATATATGTATTGAATGGATGTATCTCATAAGCAGTAGTTGAATTTTTTAATGGAATAAAAATATGAGTCTATCATGCTATATTATTAAAAATCAATTAATAAACCGATTAGTATACCAATTAATTCGCCAATTAATTATCCAGCCAGTTATTAAAACAAATTAATAACTACAAACGAAAACATAACAAAAAACAAAATGATATAACAGTTATAATAAAATAATGGTAAGCAGATGACAAAAGGAAAAATTAATGTAATGGAATAATCAAACGAGACACAAAGGGATGATGATAACAAATAACAAAGTGATGATGATGATGAAAAATAACAAAGTGATGATGATTATGACAAATAACAAAGTGATGATGATGACAAATAACAAAGTGATGATGATGATGACAAATAGCAAAGTGATGATGACGATGATAACGAATAAGAAAATGATGATGATGAATAGAAATGAAATTAGGGAAACACAAAAACAAAAATTGATGACAAACAAACAGATGATAACAAACAAAATGATGAAAACAAATTGAAAAATAATGATAATAGTAAAGAAGAAGATGATAAGAAATGTACTTGATTGATGGCCTGCCAATCAAGCTTAGTGATGGCAACATAGTGGCAGCTGGGTACTCGAGTCTGAATGAGATACTGGCTGGCCGTGTGGCTTGTGTCATTGAATGGGTCTATACCAAACCTGAAATATCAAATTTTCATCCATGGATTGTTGCAAACCAAAAATAATCAAGAACATTTACCAAAAAATGTTTATCACCAATGAGGAATTAATAAAAAAAACTAAATGTTTAATTAATCAACAAATTTTCTAACAAAACCTAATCAAACTATGAGCAGTAATCGGCAGCCAATCAGCAAACAATCAACAACAACAACCAATCAAAAGCCAGCAAACAACCAACAACCAATCACAAGCCAGCAAACAAACAAGAACTGACCAATCGCCAATTTGTATAAGCCTGCTGTATGAATCATCAGTAGGATGGTGCATTTCAAGACATCCATTGATCACCATGCCCCAGTACTTCATCTCCTCATTCTCCCTCAATACTATGCTACCTTCATTTTCAACCACCACGTACACCAGCTTTCGACATATCAATGTTTGTACATCTTTTGGAAAGCTATTGAAAACCTATATAATTTTTTAAAATTAATTATATTTTAATATTTATTCGACATATTTACCCGATATTTTACATGCAATCAAACTAAAATATTAACATAAACTGTTATTAATTTGGGTTAAAGTGAAATTCACCTTAAGCCAAAAATTTGTACTTGTTTTTTTAATCACAACAAAATAGTTACGACACTACCTCTATTTCAATGATGAAAAAAACTTTTGATTGATTATCCAATAAATATTCAAAACTACAATATTTTTCTCATAACTTAACAATAATTTTACAAAAATTTCTATAATAATAATAAAAAGTTATCTTACTGCAAAAGGCAGTAAGAACTCTCGAAGGACATTAATATCTTGTCCCGTTCGATTCTCAGGTGTCTTCTCTAGGCAGTCCTTCACGTTGTCCCTAACCGTTATGCTCTGTGGTTTTTAAATTTACAAGTTTAAAATTTTTTCCTATTATTCATTATCATTTAAAATTTTCAATGTAGATTTCAAAAGCTGATTTGAAAAAGTTACTTAACATATTAAAATCAAAGCTGATTTGAAAAAGTTACTTAACATATTAAAATCAAAAATATTTTATTAGTTTTTACATTGAAATTTTTCTGGAAAAAAAAATAAAACTTAACAGAAATAAAAAAAAGCTAATTATAAAACAAAAATTTAATAAATGGTCATACTAGATTATACATCATATGATATAATCATACACAAAGGAATATCTTACACATACTGTAAAAGATTCGTTAGCAAGATCACTGAAATCAAGTTCTGTGTAACTGCCATGTAGAGTTTCAGTGTCTTCTTCATCTTCCTCATTCTCCAAGTTATTATTTGCCACATGGACTTCCATCAATTTTTTGGTGGGGCAAAGAAGATCAGTTTTTGCCAATTTTACATTTTATATCCACATCAAATGTAATTTAATTTAATATATGACATATGTGTTGTCTGTCAGAGTCAAAAAGGTGAGCAAAATGTTGATTGTCAGGTTTGTCTATTAATTTGATTAATTAGACTTTTTGTCTTGATCTGTAGGAAAGAAATAATTTAATTAATAAATTAATTATAAATGCAATTGAATTATTAAAAATTACTGAAAATGATTGTAGATTGAGTGAAGTGAACACATAAATAAGTGAAGAGCAAGAATTGCAAGAGGCAAAGCTGCTGTTATAATAGCCAGATATTAATAAATAATATAAAAATTGCTGAAAAATGAATCGAAGTAATATCACTTGCATAATAAACTGATTTAACGACAAAACCATTTCTTCTCTGACCACAACCAATTTATATATTAAAAAACGAAAATAATTGTCGGGTAAAGCTAACAGCCACGCCATGCACGTTAAGATATATACATCCACATAACTAGAATAAACATATAACATACTATAATATATATCCATATAACATGGATATATATCTACGTTGTATGATCCATGGATCATATATCCATAATTATATATATCCATGTATATTCTTCAGTTTATATATATATATGGAATGTATTTCCATGATATCAACTTTCAATAAATATTTGTCATTTGTTCAATTTTGTCTGTTCTTACTAGTCAATTAATTGATTAATCTATTTATTCGTTTTTTAAATCATTATTTTATTTTCCATGCATTATGGTTATTCGTTCTTACTCCGTTATCATTTCATACCATTGCCTTGCATGTTCTAACAGTTTCTGCGTCTGTTATTTTTATTTTTAATAATATTATTATTATTAATATTATTATTATTAGTAGTAGTAGTAGCGTAGTAGTGGTAGTAGTAGTAGTAGTAGTAGTAGTAGTTGTTGTTGTTGTTGTTGTTGTAGTAGTAGTAGTGGTAGTAGTAGTAGTAATAGTGGTAGCAGTAATTCTGAGATTGTAAAATAGAAGTTCAGCCATTAGATTAATAGTAGTAGTTGTGTTATAAAGTTTGAAGAAAAATTATTACCACCCATGGATATATATAATTCATGTTATAATCCGTTATGTAACCACTATTATAAATAGAGCATAGAGCAGCAGCGTTGTACAACTTTTAAATTAAATGTTTAAATACAGTTTGCGGAATATGGTTTTTATCATTGGAGTGCCGGGGGAGCGTTGAGGCTAAAATTACCCCCACAAAAATTTAGTTCTTCAAGCGAATACCAAATTTAGTATTTAGTCGCTAGCATGTTTTGTTTTTAACTCCATTGCTAGTATTTTAAGTATATGATTGCTGCCAATAACTTTATAAAACATGGATATAAATGTACAATAATCTCTCTCTTTCTCTCACTCTATCTCTCTCTTTCTCTCTCTTTCTTTCTATTTTTATTTTATGTGTTTGTGTGATTGAATGTGTGTCCTTAACAGTAAGTATAAAATAATACCAAGTACTAGTAAGTAATATTAAATAATACAATGTAATAAAAATAGTAAATGAGTTTGAGTTGATGCATTACACATGGCATGTGATATGCCGGAATCTTTGTGCATTTGAAACCAGTCACTGCAGCAAAAGAGTTCAAGACATGCGTGCATCAACGAATGCACCCAATACATTACATGCATATCACATGTCACAAGTAAAACCAGGAAACAAAACAACAGATACATATCCTGTAAATGCACTGCACCTACTTGCATGCACATATATGAATATAAATATATTGAATATATATATTAAATATATAAAGAATTGTTTTGGTGGAATTCATACAATACTGTATAGAATATGGTCTTCTTCCAATATATATATATATATATATATATATATATATTATATATATATTATATATATATATAATTGTCCATGGCTACATATCTATATAATGCATTGTTGTGTTAAATTTTTATTGTTGATTAGCTTTTGGCGTTTCGTCGTTTCGTTAGTTAATTGTTCTAGTTAGCATTTGTGATTGAGTTTATGAAAACTTATGAGAATTATTTGAATAAAATTGCATTGTATATTAAGTATTTTATCGTTCGTTTGTTTGTACATTCAAAGCGCTTAACGCGCTTAACTGATTTTTCTTCAGTCTGATTTAGCACCATTGTTCACTTTTAAATATAAACAAGAGTACTCAATTTTGAATCCTGCTTTAGTGCAAATTTAAAACTTAATTTAATTTTGTTTTCGTGAAAATGAGTTTCCCTGAATGAAATATATTTAAATAATTGATCTGTTAGTTGAACAAAATTGTGGTGTTAAAACTGAAAAACGTCACATTTAGGAACATGAAGATGAAGATGTTTGATAGGAGGACCAGCAAACTGAGATGCTTGGCACTGTTGATGTTCCTCCTGTTCACACCCACCATCATTTTCACCAATTATTATTGTAGTAATAATTTTTGTTTTTGGCGGACCAACTACATAAGTTCCATTGTGGGATCAAGTACAAGTACCAGTCGTCATCACAACAACAATGAAACACTTTCTCTATTTTCTTCACTAATCGCAACTTCCTTACAACACCCACCTACCCCCATCTACCGAGTTTTTAAGAATTTATCGGAGAGCGAGGTAGTGAAACGTTTTGAAATTGATCAGAATAGAGATGTACTGATTTTCATTCACATTCAAAAAACCAGTGGTTCATCTTTCAATCACTACCTCATCAACCACACAAACATTAAAAACCCTTGCACGTGCACTACTCGGAGGAAGGTTTGTACGTGTCTTAGTTCTAAGAAGTACATCTGGCTATTCACTCGATTCTCCGTTGGATGGGTCTGTGGTCTGCATGCTGATTGGACAGAGCTGCATGCATGTGTCCCTAAAATCTTGGCCAAAACCGAGCACATAAAGAGGGAAAAAAAGTTAGTGAGCCAATTTTTTAAAAATTATCTTGTCAGTTCACTATGAAAATTTATTACAGTGCATGTAGAACAATTTTTTTCTAGTTATCATTTTTGTATGTTTGCAATAGAAATGAACATATATATAATTTGTTATTCATACTTACCCTCTCTATATCTATCTGTAATAAACAACTCAGTCAAATGTTATTAGTCATCTATATCTATAGTAAATACAATCAACAACAAGTGTGCAATTCATTCATATTCACATTATCCTGTGTCCCTTTGAATAGTTGATATCTTCTTCCTTTCACTGCTGTAATGATATTTTTATTTTATGAGAAGAAAAGTTGATAAAAATTAAAAAATTTTGTCCATTTTTTTTCTATGCATGAATTTCCTATTTAATCAGTTTTCATCAACAACACTGTGGTTATTTTATTATTTTATTACTATATTTATAGTCTATTTCTTTTTATTCACATGTGTATACTAAATAAATACATTTTTTGATGATGTCTTCTATGCACTATGCAGATGATGTTTTGTTATTTTTACAAAATAAATTTTTGATGGTGGTTTTACTCGCTGTAATGTTTTCACTCATTTTTAACCATTAAATTTAGCAAAACTTTGGTGATGATTGTGACGATTATGATGACTAGATGAGGACAATGAGGATGACGACGACGTTGACAATGATGCTAGCTGGATGAAAGATGACAAAGATAACATCACATCTGATGCAAACTTAAAAATGAACGTTTAACATGTTAACGTTTTAACTGTTAACGTTTTAACCTTTAACCTCCTCATTTTTAGCTGTAAAGCAATATGCAATGATGATAATTATATTAATTTAAACACTAACAATGATGATGATTAGGTTGGTAATGTCTAAAAGTCATTCAATGAGAAATTGAATTGCAGAAAATAAAAGTTGAATTAGGCGGAAAAAATAATGCAAAATTCATTTTATAAAATGGATTTTGCATTATTTTTTTTTTCTTCACATCACTTAACTCCACAGCATCTATTTAAATCATATCTTAATCATCCTCATCATCGTCATCGACACCATCATCATCATCGTCATTGTCGTCATCATTGTATTCATCTTCATCATCATCGTCGTTTTCTTTATTCCTATCGTCTTCATCATCATCATTGTTGCACTTATCATCACATCATCATCGTTATTACTACTGGCATCTTCCTTTTCATTTCAGACAGTCAGTCTGACAACAGTTAAATTATTTTTGTTCTAAAGTACTAACTTAATTTTAATTTTAAAAATTGCCTCAAACAAGTGTACTTGCTTGCTTACTTACGTACAAAACTTATATACACATACAACATACAAAATATCTACAGACTACTTTTTATGTAATTTGGTATTATGTATATGTATACAAATGTATGTGTGTATGTTTATGAGTAAATTTTTAGGTGTGTTTTTTCGGTTTTTAAACATTTTCCCATAGTTTAATTGCTTTAAGTGCTGTGTTGATTGTTGTTGCTTGGTATAATTTGTATCCACTGTTTTTTCCAAAGTTTTATATACTTTGGTTATACTTTGGTGAACCTAGTCTGATGCAGCATATTATATTACATACATACATATAATATAATATATATCTGCAGCGGTATTGTGTAATGCTAAAGCGCCTAGCACTGCTATTGCTATTGCACAGCAATGATCGCATTCGATTGCAAAGTGATCCCCTGCTTATCACGTGTATTTACATGCACAATGTGTTTGTATATTTGCATAGATGAAATTTGTATCCATGCATGTATTTATCTATATATGTGTATACATTTGTGTGTTAATATGTCTATGTGTGTGTATGTGTATGTATGTGTGTGTATACCATATACCATGTCATGCATTATACAATCTATGCAAAAATATAAAAAAAAATATGTTATCAAATACATTTTCCAATTGTCCTTAGATAGATTTCATATCAAATGAAGATTTTTATTTATTTTGCATTTCGACCTGACATCGATATCTTTCTTATTAATTTCTCTCTCTCTCTCTCTCTCTCTCTCTCTC